GACTTTGGGAGCCCATTCCATATAGAGGAATACTCCCTGAGCCAAGACACACGGGGGTGGGCCTAGGCCCTATCCCAAAGGCTACGAAAGACTCTGATGACACCCTATGGAAGGCCTCACCATCCAGGGGGAGCAGAAAAGATATGTGACAGATAAGTTTTTAGTTGGGGGGTAGAGGAGGACGGGTGGGAGAAGGGAACTGGGATTGTCATGTAAAACAATCCTGTTTCTAATTCAAATAAAAAAAAGTTGGAAAATAATTTTAAAAAAAGAAAACCAAGATGACCCACTGTCCCCCATGGAACAACAACCCTGGGTTACAGTTGTTGCCCCAACCCCCTTGTTCTGTTTTCAAATCAGGGCTGTGCTGATAAACAGCAGAAGAGCTCTTTATAGACAGAACCTGTCAGCACACTCTCCCTGCGTGGCCCACCTGAACCCACCCACAAGGGATTTGGGATTGTGAGAAAAGAGCTGCACAGAACATTATCTAAAGAGCCTGAGGACATGCTGGCATTGGTGGCGCACACCTCTAATCCCAGCGCTCTGGAGGTGGAGGTAGGCAGAGCTCTGAGTTCGAGGCCAGCCTGGTCTACAGAGTGAGTTCCAGGACAGCCAGAGCTACATAGAGAGACCCTGTCTCAAAAACCTAAAAAAAAGGGGGGGGGGGTGATCTGAGGACTGAGCCTTCAACAAGCTGGAGCTGCCATGGTGTGTGAGAGACAACAACCAGGGTACAGAATACTAACCAGGGCAACCCCAAAAGTCCTTGGTTTGGGATATGACAATGTATTCATCTGTAAATGAACTTTTAGGGAGTCCCCCTGCCTCACTCTCCCAAGGCTGGGATCACAGACTGTGCCATGTAGCATTTCATTTAGATCTCGGTTGTGCTTAGACTCAGCCATCATGATGCTGCTTCCAAGCGCCCCTGCTGAGCTCTGCATGCAGCTCCCAGATACAGCCTCAAGTAAAGCAGAGAAAATGGAAAATGGCAGACAGCTCTGCCACTGCCCTGCCCCAGGTACCACCTCTACTTCCAGAGGCCCCTTCGCTCACTGGCCATTCAGTTCGCCCAACAGCATTTACTATGTGCTGGGTGTCATGGGAGCAGTGGCAGGAGACCTCTGTTTTAGAACATACAAACAGCGCTCGGCCTGTGTGCTTTCTCTTGTTGCCTGTGATGAAGAGCAGGGGAAGGCAGGAGGCAAGGAGTGAGCTTGACAGTTCTGTTTTACAGGTTGCAACATCTTAGCAGCTCCATCAGTGTGTATTAAGTAACAAGTGTGGGTAGTACTGGGGCTTTGCACATGAGCGTTTGACACTTGGTAATACAAAGGTGTACACACTGACCTGTATTACTGTGTGATGAACCTTGGAAACAGCACTGACACAAAAAGGTGCTAATAGGTTTTCTATACCCCACCCACCATCTCTCTCCACCCCAAACCCCCATGTTTCTCTGCCAATGCAGTAGGCCAGATCAAGCTGAATTTAAAAAGTATAACAACAGGTTTATTTGAGCAAAGCAATTACCCAGGCAACAAGCCACGCCCACAAATGAAAGCAGGGACTTTATAGGTTGTGGGTAAGGGGTGATGACATGTCTGTCACAAGCTGGGTTTTGCCCAAGTATAGTCAAAAGCTGGGCACTTTGGGGCAGAGGGACTTGGGCAGCTGAACAACTTCAGGGGAAGAAGCTGCAATAGCCGCCAACGATGCAGAACTAGTTTTTGTTTGGAGACTCTCTGAGTGGGCGGGGTTTGGAGAGAGAAACAGGAAAGGGGCTTTCTGGATCATGTAGCAGGAGCTGGAGGTTCCAAATGAACAGATGCTACTGTTGACCAAAGGTCAAGCCATATCAGTCCACAGAAACATGCTGAGGAGGAAGAGTGCCAGGGAGAGATGACCAGTAGGTACCAGGTTCCTTTGGGTAGTGTGAAAGGGAAAAGTTCTAGAATCTAAAAATGATGGTTGACTAATGTGAATGTACTAAAATGGTTGTATTTAGCTTTTTTTTTGGTTTTTCGAGACAGGGTTTCTCTGTGTAGCTTTGGAGCCTATCCTGGCACTCGCTCTGGAGACCAGGCTGGCCTTGAACTCACAGAGATCCACCTGCCTCTGCCTCTCGGTGCTGGGATTAAAGGCGTGCGCCACCAATGCTCGGCGTATTTAGCATTTTTTAAAAAGATTTTATTTATTTATTATGTACACAGTCTTCTGCCTGCATGCCAGCAGAGGGCATGAGATCTCATTCAAGGGGGTTGTGAGCCACCATGTGGTTGCTGGGAATTGAACTCAGGACCTCTGGAAGAGCAGTCAGTGCTCTTAACCTCTGAGCCATCTCTCCAACCCGAAGGAATAACTTTTTGTAGATTTTTAATTATGTATATATGTGTGGCTGCATGCTTGTGTATATGAAGATGCCTGCAGAGGCCAGAAGAGGGTGTTGGAGTTCCTGGAGCTGAAGTTCTAGATGGTTCTAAGCCACCCTGAGTGATTGCTGCAAACCAAACCAGGGTCTTCAGGAAGAACAGCAAGCACTCTTTTTTGTTTTGTTTTGTTTTTCGAGACAGGGTTTCTCTGTGTAGCTTTGGAGCCTATCCTGGCATTCGCTCTGGAGACCAGGCTGGCCTCGAACTCACAGAGATCCACCTGCCTCTGCCTCCCGGGTGCTGGGATTAAAGGCATGTGCCACCAACGCCCGGCGACTTAATTTCCTTTTAAAAATGTGTGTTCCCCACTCCTTCATCCCAGATCCCAGTGACGTGAGCTACACATTGTCTCTGCACTCTCCAGGCATCAAGGCAGGAAAGTGTTATGCCCAGATTGTGGAGTCCCCCAAAACCCAACAAGGAGATTGAATCCCATTTGTAAAAGCAAAGAGCCTTTATTCAAGCTTGAGCTTGGACTCTCCATCTGTCTGACACAGCGGTTGAGAGCAGAGAGTGTCCAGCCTGGGTGGGGTAGGGTCTTTTATAATACTAAAGGTTGGGAGTGAAGGGATTTTTAGGGTTCAAGATCCTGATTGGTTGACATTTGTCTAGGGGTGTCTTGGTGAAAGGGATTGGATGTGTGCCAGGCTAAGGGGCATCAGGTGCTCCTGTCTACAGTGGTTGGAACATTAAGAATTGCCTTTGGTACTTTCCCCTTGGATGGTCCATTCCTGAGTGATGCCTGGGTGGTCTCATTTTGTGGTCTTTTTCTAGTGCCAGGTGTTGCTTTAGGATAAACTGAAAACTCAGGCCTACTTGAGCCTTGGCATGACAGCAGCATGGTGAAGCTGCAGGTGAGCAACAAGTTGGCCTGAAACCAGAGCCAACTCTCCCCCTGACCAACTGAACAAGAAACCAACCAGTTCCTGAGCAGGAAAACCAACCAGTCCGTGAGCAGGAAATCTTCTCTCTGGGAACACTCCACCCCTAAGAAGCCATACATAAGCCCCTGTACCTGCTCAGTTGCTGGCTGTCCGATTCTACCCTAGCAGAGGCAGCCACTCTCTTGGATTCCTCCTTCCCAAATAAATCTCTTTCTTAAAGAGTTTTGGGTTAAGATCTTCTTTTGCCAGCGTGGAGCAGAAGAACCTTTGCTGAGACATTCCCTTGGGGGTGGGGGCTGAGTCGAAAAGCCAGAAGAAACAGTTACCTCTGCTGGGAAACCCCCTTGTGGGTAGAGCAGAAAAACTAACTTTTCCAAGGAGCCAGAGGAGATGGCTACATTACTGCAGGGGTTTCTGCTTTAGCAGAGTGAAGTAGAAGAAGTAATATTTTGGGCCAGAGGTGAGCAGAGCAGAAGAAAGGGTAGCTCTGCTATCAAGTTCCTTTAGAAGAACGGAGCAGAGCTCAGCTGTGATGAAGAGAGGAGCAGGATTGCTACAACCTGCAAGGAGACCATCCCACCAACCCCACCCGGCTTCAGGTATAGCCCGACCTCCTGACAAGTCAGGATATCTTTCCTTGCAGCTCGCTCTTCCAGAGGAACCTGGTTCAATTCCTAGCAACCACATGGCAGATCATAACTACCTGTAACTTCTGTTTCAGGGGATCTTACACCTTCACACAGACAAAACATGAATCCAGGGGCTGGAGAGATGGCTCAGAGGTTAAGAGCCCCAGCTGCTCTTCCAGAGGTCCTGAGTTCAATTCCCAGCAACCACATGTTGGCTTACAACCATCCATTATGAGACCTGGTGCCCTCTTCTGGTGTGCAGATATACATGGAAGCAGAATGTTGTATACATAATAAATAAATAAATAAATAAATAAATAAACATGAATCCACATAAAAGTAAGTAAATTATTATTTTTTAATGTGCATTAGCATGTGTAGCTCTGGCTTTCCTGGCACTCTCTCCATAAACCAGGCTGATCTTGAACTCACAGAGATCCACCTGCCTCTACCTCCCAAATACTGATATTTTAAAGGCGTGCACCACCACCACCCAGCAACAATTTCTTTCAGAAAGCTCACATCCTGACTCCATGGGCACCAAAGCAAAAGTTCTTGGGTCCTTCCTGGCAGAACCTGCCAAGCTCTGACAGCTTCCTGGTACAGCTAGGGCCACACCCTGCCTGACTCACTCAATGTTCCCTTCATATCATTTATTTCACACACTGATGGGAAGACAGGCCTCGGCCAAGGTCAACAGGAAGTTAATTTTTGGGGTGTGTGTGTGTGTGTGTTGCTGAGGATGGAAGCCAAGGCCTCTGCGAGCTAAGCACATGGCAGACACTCCATGCAGCCTGTCAGCTAGGACACAAAAGGCTTGGTGTACATATCATTCATTTGGTGCATACTCAACATGTTTTTCTTTCTTCTTCTCCCCCCCCTCAGACAGGGTTTCTCTGTATTGCTTTGGAGGCTGTCCTGGAGTTCTGTAGACCAGGCTGGCCTAGAACCCATAGAGATCTGCCTGCCTCTGCCTCCCGAGTGCTGGGATTAAAGGCGTGTGCCACCAACGCCCATCCAATGTGTTTTTCTTTAGGGCTTGTGTGACAGGTTGGGGTAAGATGAACTGGACACTCAGGGCCGCAGAACACTATTTACTCTTAGAAGTTGGTCTCTACTCTGCCATTATGCAGTCTTTACTCTCCCTGTCTCTGTAGTCAGTAGTTCAGATGGGTCAAGGGTCACTTCATCTTAACCAGTGACACTACTTTCAAGTAAGGATATTATCACAGGCGTTTGAAGAGTGGACACTAGGCCGGGCCATCTTTAGCCTAGGCAGTGCCTGCTCACTTGGCTTTACTTCCTTTCCCATGCTGAGGGACTGAGGCATCTTCGACCCACTTAAGAGCTGGGTAAATATTTGCTGGATGAATGTGGGATTTATTGTCATTGGCAGATTACCAGCCCCTGCTTGGGCTTTTGTAAAGTCAAAGCTTTACAAAAAGCTTTGTTCAAGCAAGGCCAAGCAAACATGGAACTGGGCAGGGCGCCCTTCCACATGGCTCCCATTGCTGTCGACTTACCTCCTAGGAGAGCCTCCACATCTGTTCCCCCATCATGCCTGCTGTGGAGGCCAGAGCAGGGACAGCGACTGAGCCCCAGCCAGGGGCTGCAGTCTCTGAGGCTTTGTTCTCCAGGCAAGTGTGCTGGAAATGTCCTGTGTCCACACCCTCTGTACTGGCAAGTTAATGAAGGCGATGCCAATTTACCCTCCCTATTTCTTTTCCCTCCTTCTCTGGCTCCTTCTTTTTTTTTTTTTTTTTTTTTTTCCTTTTTTTTTTTTTTTTTTTTTTTTTTTCTATTGATTGATTTATTTTTTTTTCTACGAGGAACATGAGTAGATTTTCCCAGTTTAGCTAGCCCATGGGAACATGGCTGTAGTTAAGGACAGCCGTACTGTCCCTGGCAAGATAAATGCTACAAGTTTTCTCTCTCTCCAGCTCTGAACTGGACCCCATCAACTCAGCCCAACAGGAAGCCACAGGGTGTGGCTACAGAGTGAACTAGGGAGGAGGTCTGGAGGTAAGGAGCTTAAGCATGGGAATTGCAGGTAAGTGGGAAACACAGCTGTGTTTCCCCAAGGGCCTCCCTGCATCCTGCTGGAGGCTCCCACAGAAGTCTCTGGGAACAAGGTGTTGGAAGGGCAGTTCTGAGGACACGGGGATAAGCAATCTGATTCGGAGAAGGCAGCCACAAGGCCCGGAGGAGCCAGCATTATACACTAATTGTAGTCTCCACAAAGGTTTCTGTCTTAAGTCCTCTTCCCACCCACACATAAAATGTGTAGATGTCATTAAAAGTGAAGTCAGAGCAGTGTGTGCTAGGGTGTGTCATGTCCTTCTGACCCAGTGTCACTGCAGTCTCTATAAGATGAAACGTGGAAACCAGGTGTGTTGGGTTTGGCTGCAATCTTGGCATTCAGAAGGCTGAGGCAGAAGGATTACCTTCAGTTCAAGACTAGCCTGAGCCACAGCTGTGCGTGGTGGCACACACTTTTAATTCCAGTGCTCTGTAGGCAGAGGCAGGAGCAAGTTCCAGGAGAGCCAAAGATACACAGAGAAACCCTGTCTCAAACTATGCCCCTCTTCCCCTCAAAAGAGGAGGGAATATAGACACACACATGAACATGGCCACATATGGCTGGGACAGGGCCCCCTAGCACCACACAGGAAGAAGCCCCGCCACTCCCACCGCCAGCTCCTCCTCAGGCCTTCCTTACATCACAGTGCACAGATGGACATGATGTGACTGGAGAAAACACATAGAGCAGATTCCTGAAGCCAGGCGGTATAAGATATCAATTCTTGGGTTTCTCTGGGGGGCCAAGTTACCATTTTTTCCCTCATGGTGGGCATCAGCCTTGGCATGGGCAGCAGTGTTGAGTACCCTGGAGCAGTTCATGCAGGTCCAGCCCCCATTTCCTCCAGGGGAGCCCTCCATGCCCACAGGGGTGGGATGGAAATGTGTTCTACCCAATACGCAAAGGCTGAGATGGATGGAGCAAGCTCAGGGTCAGGCAGGGCTTCATTGGTAGACCTGTCTCACAACGATAAAATGTGTACTAAGGGGGCAGAGAGGTGGCTGGGAAGGTAAGAGTACTGATTGCTTTTCTGGAGGACCTGGGTTAATTCCAGGCACCTGTATGGCAGCTCCCAACCATCTGTACTGCAGTTCCAGGGGAATTCAATGCCCTCTTCTGGCGTCTATGGGCACCAGAGATGTACAGGATATAGACATACATGTAGGCAGAACACATATACATATCAATGCCAAGCTCACTGGCAGCTCATCCAGCTGTGTCCATGCTATGGTTTGAATGCCCTGAGGAAACGGGCTGGATGCTGACTGTAAATAAGTTATGGGTTTGGGATGGAAGGACATAATTCAGTGGTGGTGGGGTTGCTTTATAAGAGTCTGAGGCAATTCTTTTTTGCACTATATCTAGTGTCCCAGCATGAGGCAGATATTGGAGCCACATTCAGAGATTTGGTGACAGCAACAGAAAGCAGACCATAATCAGGCAGCTCCCACAGGGCTTCATTGAGCAGCCTTAGCCCCAGGCACTGGCAGGACTGGGTAGACACTGCCCCACAGGGCTGCAGCTGGCCAGGTTCATAGCTGCGTTCAGGAGTGTCTGCTGCTCCATGCTGGACCTGCTGACCACAGTGTACCTTTATGATTGCCTCTCCACCACAAGAGTGGTTGTCTGATGTTTTTCTGTCAGCTTAGTGGCTGCCTGTAACAACAAATCTTTCTGCCAACCGCCCCAGCCCCACCACCACGTGGGCACCCAAAATAACACACAGAGATTTATATTAGGTACAATGCTGCTGGCCAATGACTAAGATTTCTTATCTGCTAGCTCAGTCTTTTTTGGGGGGGGGGTTCGAAACAGGGTTTCTCTCTGTAGCTTTGGAGCCTATCCTGGCACTCGCTCTGGAGACCAGGCTGGCCTTGAACTCACAGAGATCCGCCTGCCTCTGCCTCCCGAGTACTGGGATTAAAGGCGTGTGCCACCAACGCCCGGCTTGCTAGCTCCTCAGTCTTAATTATCAACCATAACTACTAATCTATATAAAGACTTCTCTTACAGAGGACGCTGGTGGCATGCATCCTCTCTTGCCAGCGATCACATGGTGACTCCACAGAGAAGAGAGGAGGAGGAAGAGAGTGATTTCCTGCTTATATATTCTGAGTCTGCCTGCTGTGTCACTTTCTGACTGGATCACAAGACTTTGCTTTACTACATTTCCCAGAATCCTCCTCGACTCAAGTCCATCTTGCTTCCCTATTGGCCAACAGTGCTTTATTCAACAACCAATAAGATAAACATACACAGATGGACTTCCTGCATCATCTCCTCTTATCTGTCTAAATAAAAAGGTTTTACCATTAACATAGTAAAATATATAGCAAACAGTTAAGTAAGAATTATAGTTAGAATATTTAGTCCATAACATTTAGCAAGATTTAAAGAAAATATTCTATTATCTAACCTATCTTTGTGAGTCTAAGGTTTTATGTGTAACTTATCTTTTATAATATCTAAAGAAAACTATAACCATAACCATCTGTCTTCAACTCCATCAAAGACCACAGAATGATAATATATAAACTCTAGATCTGACAGAGACATAAATCACTACCTGGACAGTCACCCAAAGTTCCTCTATAACACTGGGGCATCCATCTTCAGCCCATAGGCCTCAATGTGTCTGGCAGACTTCTCCATGATGCAGGAACCCTTCAGGTCTGTCTTGTTTTGTAAGTTCAGCAGTCACTTTCCTGTGGGTCCTGCATATCCAGTTTATACAGCAACAAACAGTATAGGCAAGAACAGTTTCTTGCCCAAATGGCTAATCTTGCCATGCTGAAAGCAAACTCCATAACGAGTTTCTTTGATGCCCATCTTCCTCTCAGACATAATTGGTGTGCCAGGAGCAGTTGTGTCTCACTGTCATGAAAAACCCTAAACCATTTAAATGCCATGTTTTTGTAGGTCTTTGAAAGGTTTGAAGAATATCTATCCACCTCAAATACATCTCTGTATATCTAGAAAGCCTAACTAACCTAATTGTAAGTTCTGACTATTATAGGTGACTATATAATCTGTATATAATTATGTATTACATTTTAAAAGATCAGTATCAACACAATACCTAAACAAGAGGAGACAAATACATATCATGAAATTGACCTTAATGTTGTATCAATAAATGAAAATCCATACCAATACAAAATATCCATTCCTACATCCTATTCCCCTTTTTTTCCTTTAAAAAGAGATTGACTGTGATCATTACCATTTATAACCAACCCCATTTAAATGAAAACAAACATTTATAAACAATATTTGGGAAATTTGGGTGTCGTTCATTCCAAACTGCTTCCTGCTGGTTGGGGGCGATATCCGTACCATGGGGATTATGATAAAATATAGAAACTTGGCCAGGAAGAGAGTGATATCCTGCTTGTCCCTACTATATCTCTTCCTGCCTAGATCACAAGACTTCTATTTACTACATTTCCCAGAATCCCCTCAGCTCCTAGTCCCACCTGTCTGCTTCCCTATTGGCCAACAGAGCTTTATTTAACAACCAATAAGATAAGCATACACAGAAGGACCTCCCCCATCAGCTGCGCATGAAAATACTGATATTTTAATTATCATCTGTGACCCCACAGCCCTCTAGTCAGTGCCCTGCAGGCCACTCAGCCCATAACCTGGAAGGAAATACAGGTTTAAACTATTGGGGTTTTGTTTTTGTTTTTGTTTTCAAGACTGAGATTCTGTGTGTAACAGTCCTGACTGTACTGGAACTCACTTTATAGACCAGGGTGGCCTTGAACTCACTGAGATCTTCCTGCCTCTGCCTCCCGAGTGCTGGGATTAAAAGCATGTGCCACCGCCACCCAGCTGTCTCTATGGTTCTATTTATCAACAAAGACTTGGAAGTCAGATATGGAGGTGAAAACCTGCTAGATCAGAGAGGCTGAGAAGTAACCAGCTGACCTTTCTTTTTGGCTGGAGACCCAGCAAGAGATATATCTCTCCACTTGTCCCAAACCAAAAAGCACAGAGAAACTCCAGTCCTACCCTCCTCCTTCCTGTGCGTCTATCCATAATCCTGGCTCCTCTGGACTCTCTATGGCTAATTGCAGTCAACTAGTTGCTGACTCCGCCCCTTGAGCCAAGGTGGATTTTATTTAATTACTTGAGATTCACAATGTGATCAAATATCCCACAACTGTTGTCCACCACCCTGGCACTTTCATCAGACCTGCCCCCTCAACTTGCCTTCCCTTCCCTTCCCTGATAAGGCCACTACCCTGAAGCCCAGGTTCCCAGCTGCTAGAAATGCCATGTCCCCTTAACACCAGAGCAGGAGCTACGCCATCACCAAACACCTCCCAGGACCCTACCTACCAGTGGGTGATGCAGGAAGGAAAGCTGGCTCTGCTGGCTAGTTTTATGTCACCTTGACAAAACTAGAGTCTTTCTGGACGAGTATCCATTGGAAAAATGCCCCACCAGATTTGCCCGTGCATTTTCTCCATTGATGTAGAAAGGCCAGTTCACCCTGGGGGGTGCCACCCCTGGGCAGGAGGTCCTGGGTCATATAAGGCAGCAGGCTCAGCAAGCCATGAGGAACAAACTGGTGAGTAGCATCCTCCATGGTCTCTGCATCAGCTCCTGCCTCCAGGGTTCTACCGTTTTGAGTTCTTGCTCTGACTTCCTCAGTGATAGACTGTGATGCGGAAGTATAAGCGGAAATAAGCACCTTCCTTCCCAAGTTGTTTACTGTCATGGTGTTTTATCACAGCCATAGAAGCCCTAGCTAAGACACTGCCCTCCATGTGAAAGCACTCCAGATGCAGCAGGAGGCTGAGAACTCAAGTCACCTGAGCATGTTGCTGCTGAGGTAAGCCAAGACTGCTCACATTTTCAGGGTGACATTACTGGACTGGAACTGCACTTGGGATACCGAGTGTGTACACAGCATCAAGTCTCCACTGCCTCTTGGGGCCGGATTGAGGCATGGCTAGAGGTTCCTCTGTTGAGCCTGGCCCAGGTCAGCAGCAATGCCAACCCAATTGGGCAGGTAGGCTGCTTGTGGCTTGAAAATCATGTTGAAGGGGGAGCTGGGCTGAGTGAAGTTAGCCAGGTAAACAGTATCCCCACCTGTGAGGTAGGCAGCCCAAATCCCGAAGGTACCCACGGTGATGATGGTGTGGTTGCACTGCAAGAGCAGTGACATGTCCCGGGCAGGTGATCCTTGAATACCATTGCCAGCGAACACCACATCCCCCCGGGAAGCATTGATGTTCTCCTTGCACCAGGCCATACCGTTGCTTGTGACTACAAAGACTGGAGACCGATAGCGCGCCCGGAACATGTCCAGGGCCTGTTCCAAGTAACCCCGGTCAGCCACCACGCCCTTCCACACGTTGGGCATGACATGCACATAGTCCCCCCGGCGCACGTGGACACCCACAAAAGTACTCGGCTGGCTCCCATTCACCCGCAGGCCACGCAGGAAGGCCTGGGCCTCCTCACGCACGTGGTCGTGCAGGGTGAACTCCTGCAGGATCTCAGGGCGCAGGTGGTGGTAGAAGGTCCAGGAGCACGGGTACCCTGTGAGGCGCACATAGCGCCCTGGGATGTGGCGGTGACGCTCCTCCATCCAGTCGTTGAGGTGATAGTTCTGCCATGGGATCTTCCTGTCTGTGTCGTGGTGCAGCACCGGGAGGCTGATCCTGAAGATGGGCGCCAGGGCGCTGTGCATGGATTCGGGGATGAATGCAGGCCTTCCGTTCATCCTGGCCAGTGCGAACAGCGTGGCATACTCGCCCATCTGGTTCCCCAGGCGGCCTTTGACATTTATGGTAAACATGCCCTCCTGAGGCAGGTTTCTTGGGGCTAAGACCACGAGGGCTGAAGAGGCCCAAGGTGCAGGCACCAGAGCCAAGCGCTGGTGGCAGTAGAAGATAGTGGACAAAACAAAGATCACAAAAAGGATATAGAAGGTGGAGAGGGATGGACATGTGGCCCCGAGTCGTTGGAGAGCTGTAAGAGAAGACAGGCGTCAGTAGGGATGGTCAGGAGTCAGAGTCTGATCAT